GGTACCGTACTATATAAATAATTAGTTAAAATGATTTTACTTAATTTTAAAGAGTAGGCCTACTTAGATTTACATTGTTGAATGTGGTTGCAAAAAAATGTGCCTACCAGTGGCATATAAGTCTTGAAATGGGGGTGCTGATGGGGGCGAATGTAAAGTGGGGGAGGGAGCTCGATGATTGGTCGAGGGGCGCTAATTCGCAAAATATGTTGATTTCAGGTGACTTTTACTACTTAACCGTGATTTTTGGGGGAGTGACTGGGGGAGCGAGTAATTTTTGTAGGGGGCGTGCCCCCCCCCCACGTGCATCCCTAGATACGCCACTACGACCAAGACTATACGGTACGGTATGTTATTACGCAACAAATTAGCTCCCTATTATGTTGTTGCTGTTGTTTACATTTTCACTCACTCGTTGTATTATGGAAAAATGTTAAGATTTTCCATGTTTTAAATTAGTCCACAGAATGAATTTAAAGGACCCTCTATAAGAGCACAGTCCCAGTTCAGGCCTGAACAACAACAACAACAACAACACAACAATGGATGCCACAATTAAATCTAACACGATGTAGCCATACAACTACAATACACCATAGCACACACTTTACTTACCTGTATGTACATTTTCCAAACTTAGAAGAAACACTATTCCGAACTTCAATATTTTAGAAGTGACGACATCTCTACGATTTACAGTAGCTCACCTACAAGCTTGTTTTTTTAACGTAATGTGGATGTTATCATACAGGTGCACAACCAGCCAGTATCTGAAAGAAAATTGCTGCCAAGGACAGTAGTGTGCTATCAGGCTAAATTTCAAAATTGTTTTCAGCGCCCACCCTCGAATTAGTCTAGTCACTGGGGATAAACCTCACCACCAGTCCCTCCCAGGGCCGGCGGAACGTTTTTTTTCAAAACGGGGGTGGGGGTTACTAGTAAGATGAATAGGAATATGAATCAGGGGTTGTGGGTTCAATTTTAGGGGGTCGGGTCAAAATGTTTCCCAAAAACCTCAAAAAGGAAGGGGTCCAGGGGGTCCTCCCCCGGAAAATGTTGATTCTCTTGATGGCGAGAAATTAGCTTCCCGACTTTTGAGCTAGGTGTCTTTTAATGACTTGGTTCTTCAAGGTTTCCCCCTCTTGAAAACTGTCAGGTAAACTTTCTCATTCTTATTACAGTAAATATGTGTTGTACGGCCTATATATATTAAACAAATTGAATAGTTGCATACGTATTCTTTTTTCCATGAATCGATAAACCCCAAAGAGAAGGGGAGGTGCAGGGGTTCTCCCCCGGGAAAATGTTGATTCTAGATGGCGGGAAATAGGTTTTTCCGACTTCTGAGGTGTCTTTTATTGCCTTTTAAGTTCTTCAAGTCAAAATTCAAGGTTTCCCCTCTTGAAAACGATTTCGTGAATCAATGAACCCCAAAGAGAAAGGGGGCCCAAGTGGGTTGACGATTATTGAAGTGATAAGATCAGCGATAGCAAGATTAATGATGAAGTTGGGATGCGCCACACCACAATCAGCGTCATGCTATTTCCAAAGTGCCCAAAAGCCGTGTATATTATTGATAAAATTATACTGACTACTGTCATCATAATTATCTTCTAGTGTATTTCTACTCATACTTCTGTGAGAAGATTTACAACCTGAATGAAATCTGTAAAAACAAGCGAGATAATTTTTTTCATCAATATTCATCAGATGCTCAAAAACTAAATTTACTTTTAATGAATATTTTCTGCTTCGATATTTAAAAAAAATCACTGTATCAAAATTATGTTGTAAGTATGCGTATGAATATAATATGTTTACCTCACACTTCATCCGTAAACAATTCATCGCGTGTTTAAATATCCGAAATCGAGAACAGAACTTATTTTATACTTATTACTCTTATTGGTGACAGTTTCTTATGGACTACCCTGCACTTGACGCCTAGAAAATCAATGCCCTTTTGAGAAATTTGAAGCTGACGAAACATGTTAGGACGTAGAGTATGACAAAAATATACTGCATTGTTATTTCGGTTGAATTCTGACAATTCGTGGCTAATGAGGGGTTGAGGGTCTTGGCTTCCAACTGAGGGCTTATGTCCTTTCCTCCCTTACTAACACAATATTAACAAAAAAGGAAGTGGATATATTTACGTGACCGTAAACAAATCAGTAAACGATATATCTACGTAAAATAGGCCTAAATAAAGGTTCCCTGCTAAAACTAGCACTCAATTAACTCGAAATCGAAACGATATTCTCTTAGGCATAAGCCTGTATTGTACGATAGTACGATAGTCAATCATCACAAATTAACAGGGCCGGCGGAACGTTTTTCGAATTGGGGGCCCACTAGTAAGATGAATGGGAATATGAATGGGTTAAATTAAGGAGGTGTGGGGGGGGGGGGCAACATTTTTCCCAAGAAAAGGAACGGGTCCGGGGTTCTCCCAAGGGAAAATTTTGATTCCTAGATGGGGGGAAATGAGATTTCCCGACTTTGAGCTAGGTGTCTTTTAATTACTTAAGGACTTTAAAGTCCTTCAAAATTCAAGGTTTTCCACCTCTTGAAAACAACGGTCAGGTAAACTTTCTCATTCTTATTACAGTAAAAAGGCCTGTTATGTGTGTATACATAAAAAAAATTAGTACCGTAGTTGCATACGTGTTCTTTTTCCCATGAATCGATAAACTCCAAAGAGAAAGGGGGGTTCGGAGGTTCTCCCCCGAGAAAATGTTGATTCCTGAATGGGGGAAATGAGCTTTCCCGAATTCTGAGGTGTCTTTTAATGACTTTTAAGTTCTTAAAAATTAAAGGTTTTCCCCTATTGAAAACGATTCCATGAATCGATGAACCCAAAGAGGAAGGGGTCCGGGTAATTACCCCCGGAAAAATTTCAATTTTTAGATGGCGGGAAAAGAGCTTTCCCGACTTCTGAAAAGTCTTTCAGACTTTTAAGTTCTTCAAAATTCAAGGTTTTCCCCTTGAAAACGGTCAGGTAAATTTTTCTTATTCTTATTACAGTAAATAGGCCTGTGTGTACCGGTATACATACGTTGCATATATTCTTTCTTCCGTGAATCGATGAACCCCAAAAAATAAAATAAAAGGGGGCTGGGGCCCTCCCCCGAAAAAATGTTTATTCCTAGATGGCATGAAATGAGCTTTTCCAACTTGTAATTTTCTTAATGTAACAAAAAAAAAAAAAAAAAAAAAAAAAAAAAAATATCAGCTCACGGGTTCTGAAAAAGTGGGTCTAGAATTCTTTTAGTTTTATTTTATTTTGCCCAAGGAAGGGGATAAGGACCCCTGATCTCCCATATCCGCCAATGTGACTTGCGAGAAAATCTAACTCGGTCGGGGATTGGATAAACACTCTCTTTGCCTTGCCTTCCCTCTCCTTCTTCCCTCTTTCTTTTCTTGCATTTCTTTCTGATCATACAAAAATCTCCTCTCTGGGGGGGGGGGGGGGGGGGGGGGGGGGGTGCAGGCCCCCCGGTTTCGCCGGCCATGAGTAAATAACATTTTAATCAAACACAACGACGTCGTCACTAACAAAAAACAACATCGTTAACATTCTTTAGTCGGGTCGATTGTCGGGGCCCGATCGAGCGAGAGCATCCGAGAAAGACCACGTGATCCACACTCTACAAACTATTTTCTGTAAGATATTTAATCATTACGAATAAAGTAATACAAAACAAATATTTTTAATCTTTTATATTCAAACACTAACAAAAACAACATTGGCTGTTAATTTGAATGAAATACCATGCCGTGCATGTGTCTACAAAGTATGGATGCAAGAGCATGTGGACTAAACAGCCTCTCTTGTACGTTGTGGTCATGAGACGTGAGAAGAGTGATAAGAATACAAATAGGCTTAATATTTCTAGCTCATTATCAAAATGATTAAATGATCTATTTATTGATTGAAATACATACTACTGTAGCAAATTTAATACGTTTAATAAGAACGGAAACATTATCAAACGTCAAACCCTGCCGTAAACTGTTTTTCGCTCAACCAATTTAGAAATTCCCGAGCTGCGTTGCTTTGCTGTCGACTCGATCGTGTGTTATTGAATAATAGCTTTTAAAGAGCAAAAATTCCTTTGTTTGTACAAAAAATTGTTTGGTCAAGTTACACTTTGGGGAATTTGATTTGCGTACAATAGGAACTACTGATTCAGATTCAGATATTATTGATTGTCATATAT